TACAGTTTTCTGGTAGTTATCTAAGACGGAGCTCCCCCAGAAAGCATTTAGTGGCTAGTATGTTGCTATCTTTTATTATTTATTACTCGTTATTTGGTTATGAATTGTTCTATGAATATTATCCCTAGTTGATTGTTTTATCATTACATTGGTTATTTATGTTATTACCACAAGTGTTATAAATTTGTGATTGTAACTTACCATGGATTTTTAAGTGCTGATTTATGACTGTATATTGCTAGGGGTTTGGGGTAGATTCAGCAGTATTCAAATGAAATATATAAATAACACAGAGTCCTCAATGGATGAGGATGATGGTGACTATCACATTTTAAAAGCTTACGTTTTATCTATTTCACTGGGGGCAATTGAAGTCACCAAACAGAAAACATCTGCAATATTTAAAACAGTCCCCAAAGCCCAGATTCCCCCCCCCCCAAAAAAGGGCCACAGCATCTGTAAGAACACTGTGGGCTGCTCCTGGAAGAGGAGCATCCCCTTCTTGGGCCAAGGCGGTGAGCAACTTTGCACATGATACAAAGTCCTTCAGGTTGAGGAAAAGCAGACCATAACAAAACCCCCGATGAGCTCTCAAAATTGGGCAAATGGAAGACCACATGCAGAATGTGAGTTGGAGGTGAGGGATGAAATGTCAGTAAGGCACTTACGTATTCTCCATCAATCGCATCTCTCATGAGTATAAAATCTGGTCAACTGGAGTTAATGTTTCCAGACAAGCAGGGGTTTGGCCTTCTCAAAATTCTCACCGTGCCTGAATATACTGTTTCCAGCTTTCAGCAGGACCAGTAGCTCATAACACTCAATGCTAAGTTTAAGAACTGTGTTTTACGAGAGCAGATGTTTTTCTTGTTATGAATGCTCCTAGGTCACCCAAGGAACAGAAGGGGAGCTTTGCGTCTCGGGCACGGCACAGCTTCCTTCAGAAACAGCTCCTCTGCACCGAGACCCAAAGCCCTTGTAGATGTTCTGGCTGGCGGGGGGTGCAGAGAATGTCCCACCAGCATAACGGCTAGGAGGGGGCCTGTTAAAGTGTCAGTCTACTGGAAGTGCTACAGTCTCCAGGGCTCACTTGCTTTCTGAAGCAAAACAAAGAGCTCTTACTTAAAACAAATACCGCTATTTTAAGTCTGCATCAGGACCATCCCTGAGTTCTGCCCCTCTTCACCACCGCCACATCCTCTGTTTCCCAGACGTACTCAGGAGGAGAGAAGCAAGATCCGGAAAGCGAATGACCCGCTTCTCCCCCTCTCACGCGCCTTGCAGCATTCTTTGTGCAGCATCAGAATTACTCAGGACCTGCTCGTTGCGCTGCTTGTTTCAAGACCATATTAGAAGCTACTACAGAAACAGTGTGTAAGGTGGATTTAACATACATACCCGTCATGCTATTCCATTTGGGGGTAAGCTATGTTATGCAGAGTGCAGGAAAGCAGCAAGAAACAATAAGCACAAGAAACGGCATGTGATAAGAAAAAGAAACGGAACTATATCTAGCCTATGCCAACCCCGCTCACGACATCTCTCCTTGGTTTTCTGTCCTTGCAAACCTCCTCACTTCTACCACATCCATTCACTGTTTCATACGCCTCATTCTGTTCTTTAAACTTCTCACTTTATTCTTTCTGAGGACCTCCACCACATCCAACCACACGTTTCTCGGTCTTCCCCTTCCTCTCAACCTATTCCTTTTTCCTTCTTAGTTTTGCAACCGGATCCTCATTCATTCTCTCCCTAAGAGCAGAGCACCCCACCCATTCTCACAGGAGGTCGCTCTCTTTTGGATTCAGACCACATTCACTCAGCACCCATCGGTCTTGACCCCACCTTTTGTTTCAACGCGCAAACTATTCTATTACAGCATTCACGTCCATTAGCTGTATCATAGGCTTTCTCTAAATCAACCAACCCTTTCTCGCTTTCCTACATTTCTCCACGACCTGTCGAAGAGCGAACACCTGGTCTGCAGGCCCTCTGCCTAGCATGCAGCCACACTGCACTTCTTACCTTCTGGTCACTGTCGCCTTTTGCATGCTTTCAATCAGAAATCTGCCAGATATCTTCCCTCGGCAAACTAATCCCCCTGTGAGTTTTGTATTCGCTCTTGCTACTTTTCCTCTGCATACGGAAACAGGAACAGCCTTCTTCCGATAATCAGCCACAGGTGCAGCCCCGCAAACACATTAAGCAAGTTGTACAACTGTTCTGCAAGCAAGCCACATTCATACTGTAACCTTTCTCTAGCTACACCATCTACACCTGCAGCCTAACCATTTTCCATCATTCTCACAGCGGGCTTTGGAGACAGCCCGGAAGGGACAGTTGCTGCAAAACGGGGCAACCCGACTCCAGGCAGGCCGACCTCATCAAACAAGAAGAGCCCCTCTTCTGAGGCGGCTGGGTTGTT